GAAAATATTTTATTATGCCAGCTTAATATTCAAAAAAAATTATATCACTTTGATTGATTATTATTATTATTGTTATCATTATTATTATTTTTTTTTGTGTTTATAATAAAAATTATATGTATTTGTTAAAATTTGTGTAAAATATAAATATACGTTTGTTCAGTTTTAATGGCGCTTTTTTTTTTTTTTTTTACTACCCAATGTTGTCAACAAGTGTTTCGAATAAAAATTAATGGCTGACATGCTTATACATCATCATGTCAACTTTATTTATTTTTAAAGTTTTATTTAATAGTTTAGTTATAAGTTATAAGTTATATATCAAAAGTTTTGTTAATAAGTGTAGTTTATTGTGATATAATTAGTTTTTTATATTATTTAGTGATAATTATATTATTTTAAGTATAAGTTTACAAATGGCCAACGGTTTTTTTGTGACAAAAGGAAGTGAGGATTATAAAAAATATTAGAAGATACCTTAATACATCTGATTAATAAGGGTAAGTACTTCATTTTATGTCTTGATTTTCACTTGGGAAAACCTTAGGCTTGCAAAGAAATTTAGCAAATGCCCAAAAAACACAAATGTTTTAAAATTTTACATTTATTTGGTTAATTATAAGGTGTTTAACTAAACATCTTTTTCATCTCATCATAAAAAACAAGAGTTGAAGTAATTTAATAAAAATATTTATTAATTATTGATTTGATATATATTCCCTCAGTGTAAAATATCTATATTCTAATCTTTTAAGGTTAGTTTACTGATTGTAGGTTGTTTTAGTCCTTTTCTTGATTTAATTTGTCTCATTACAACATGGTTTATTATAAAGAAGGTGTAATACTCCCTATAAATCTGAATCACAATCAGGAGGAATTGGGTAGCCTATACAATGATTGATTTTAATGTAATGAAAAGGCACAAAAGACTCCATTTAATAATTGTACATTATAAGTAGTTGAGGTAGATATCTTTATCACACTAAATAAAAATAAAGGTAGTTTTATAAAATTACTTGTAAATAATTAATTTATTGTATGAGGTGGATAAAAAATATCTGTACTCCTGATCTTAAGTGTAAATCTACTGATGCATATTATTTCAATCTTCCTCTTAAATTAGTTTGTTTTAATGCAACATAGTTTATCATAGTGTAAATAATGTTACTTTTAAATCTGCATCAAAATCAGGAAAAATTAATTGTTTTTCTATTGATTGGTTTTGGTGTAAGGAATTATGAAAAGACACAATGGACTCCATTTAATAATTGTACTTTTCTTCAGCTGATTATAAGTAATTGAGCTAAATACCTCTGTCACACTAAATAAAAATAGAGGTACTTTAATAAAAATACTTATTATTACTTATTTTATTGTATCAAGTGTATATAAAATCATTGTACTCCTGTTTTAAGTGTGAATCTATTGATTGTACATTACTTTAACCCTTTTATTAAGTTAGTTTGTTTCATTACAACATATTTTGTCATATGTTTAGTGTAAAATTCTCTTTTGAGTTCATTTAAGATTAGAAAACTGCAACTGCCTTCAGATTATTTAAGTTTATAGGTACAAAATTGTAATTTGTATACATTAAATGTGAATTGCATGAGAGAAAATTATAAAAAGGAAAATAGTAGGAAAATTAAGTATTGAAATAGTTCTCAGGAAAAATTATACTCTTTAATTAGTTATCTCTAAAAAATTCACCCCCAAAAACAATGATGATTGATTCATAATTGTAATAGAGGAAAATGAGAGCAACATTTAAATAAGAAATGCATAAGGAGAAAATATGAAATGGGGAAATAGTAGGAAAATTAGGTATTGAAATAGTTTTGAGGATAAAGTTATATGATCACTGAATCATAATTGTAGTAGAGCAAAATGAGAACAAGATAAAGGCAGAAGCAAAACAAATTTTGTTCTATTATTGACACTGAGCCACTTATCTCACTTTTCCTGTTCCTGGCCACTTCACAGATGTGAGTCACTGGAGCCCAGTACAGGAAATAACTCGTTTTCATCGAATAAGATGGTTTCAGTGAGATTTACAGGATTTGTTGTGATATCATAGGTTATAACAGGACGAAACCTCTATCAGGCATACATCGTCACTGATATTTAGGCATTTATTCCTTAGGAATCGGGTAGAAACCTGAAATAGATAATGAAAGTGCTCCGACAAAAATTAAGACGAATTGTCGTGACTATGAGTGAAAATAATAATATTTTTTGTAATGTTTTTTTATAAGGTTATTTAAATGTTTATTTATCAGGTTTTTTTTTACCTTAATTTATTTTTGTTATCGGTCAAACATTGATTTTAATAAAAACTTTAAGTTTTCTTTTTTCGTTTTACATTTGATAAATAAATAAATTATTAAATAATGTTTGTTTAATGATTATTATTATTATTATTGATAAAATTGTTTTGATGAAATGAATAACGTTAAATTTAAACGTTAAATGAATAATAGGAAGCATTATCAATTAAACTAAAATTTTTTTGTTCATTATTATATCGTATTATTCATTTTTCTTAAAATTAAATATTATTTAAACTTTTGAAATTGATAAAAAAAATTAATTACAACATGCATAAAATTATAAATTTAAAAAAAAAAAGCAGAAAGCATTTTTATTAACTTAGAAAAATTATTATTTAAATATTTGAAGGAATAATAAATGTAAAAAATAAATTTTCAATTTTTGTTGTTGTTGTAAATAAAGGATTTATGAAACATAAATACAAAAAAATTAATATATAAATATCCGATTATTAATAATATCATAAATAAATTAATAATAAAAGTTTTTTTTTTTTTTTTTATAAAATAAAATAAAAAGTTTCTCTCAATCGATTTGTTATCATTATTATTATTAATATGTAAATACTTTTTAAATTCGTTTTTAATCTTTTTATTATTTTAAAATTAACGATTCATAAATATTTATATTATTATTAATAAGGAAAAATAAATTTTAGGAAAATTTTTTTATTTTGTACTAACTCTTTGATAACAACAACAACAACAAAAATTTTTAAATTATGATTAAAAATACGCAATTAAAACGTATCATAACTATTATTTCGCATATAAAGGAAGTTATGAAAGGGAAAAAAATTTTTTTGTTTTTATTAGATAAAATTAATAATAATAATAAACTGAACAAACGATTTATTATATCAAAGTGAAATGAAAAAAAAAATATATTATTTAAATACACAATGGAAAAAAACGTTAATGAATTATTATTATTAATAATAATAATATTTCATTATAAAAAATTTATGGCCGTGAATAAAATAATATATATTACTCTAATTTATTATTATTATTATTATCAACAACATTTAAGCAAAAAAAAAATTTTTTTTAACAATAAAAAATATACAACAAATCAAATTAAATAATATTTATTCGTTATACTAAAAAAAAAAAAATTACATTGCATTGTTTAATTTGTTAAAACTAAAAATTGTTTATTGTTCGTCACGAAGTAAAAATAAATAAAAAGACCACAAGAACGAAATTTAAAAAAATGATGATGATAATAATAATAGTATTCCAAAATTTGATTGTCCAAATGAGATTAGCTTTTCAATAGAACCCTAATGAATATAGTCTCTCTCTGTCTCTCTCTCTCTCTCGGAAAAACTTTTTTTTTTTTTTCCACCCCGTTTATCTTAAATAAAAAGAAGTTCATTTTTTTTTTTTTCTTGTTGACTTGAGATAACAAATTCTTTTAGAAAGTACTTCCTTCAAATGTCAGCATTTTTATTTTTATTGAATTCGGAAAGAGAGAGAGAGAGAGAGAGAGAGAGTGAGAGAGAGAGAGATGAAATAAACTTTCAACTACTTAGAAAAAAAAAAAATTGATGGGCTCAAGTATTATTATTTAAAAAAAAAAAAAAATCTCGTAAAATTTAACGCCGAATATTTTTTTATTATTATTAATTTTTTTCATTTGTCTCTTTGTTTGTTTGTTTGTTTGTTTTCGTCGTATATATTATAGAAAAACAAACAAATGTTTAAATAACCAACACGTTACTATCGACTTTGATTTGTAAATTTCATTCAAAAATTTGTGTTAGATGGCCATTGGCCAATTAAAAAAATTCAAGGTTTTTTTTTTCTTTGTTTCTTTTTTATTCGAAATTTTTTTTTTTTTTTTTTTTCGTTCCAATTTTATCCCTTATCGGTGCGCAAATAATAATAATAATATCAAATGTTTTTATATGTATTCGAAATTCAAAAAAAAAAACGATCGGTTAAACAATAAAATAAATATCAGTTAAAAGAAAGAGAGGGTAAAAAAAAAATAATAATAATGATACGTCTAAAAAATAAAATGCAATTTTCTACATTTCAAACATTTCATTATCATTCAAATGATAAGAAAAAAAAAAAAGAAGGAAAAAAATTTTTTTTAAACGCGACAAGAATAATAATACCTAAAAAAAAAAAATAATAATAATAAAAATGCTGTAGGTAAATCGATCGAAAATGAAATAGAAAATATATATATATTTAATTAAAAAAAAAAAAAAAATTTTTTTCCCGCCATTTTTATTATAAACTTCCTCGAGGAGTTTAAACGTCGAACGTGAATATTTACACGTACGTAAAATTTATAGAGAAAAAAAGAAAATTAAAAAGAAAAAAAGTAGAGGAAAATTTTGAGTTTGTCGAATTTCCACCTTTGATTTTTATATAGAAAGAAAAAGAAAATGGTTGAGGTGATTATGATATAACTGATAAGGCACGATTATATAAAATTTTAATAATAATAATAATTATTATTATTAATTTAAATGAATATTTATAAGTTTTAAATGTGTAAAAGTAAAAGCAAATGTATAATGAATAAACAAATTTTTAATAACAATTAATATCCAATCGTAA